TTTGGGGGAAGACCTCCAGAGGTTGTGCAAGTTGTTGAGCACTTAAGCCAAGGAGGAAGCTTATGCTTTTGCCCCTAACTCATACTAGAGGTCCATGCATAGATCCCTCCAAGGTTAACTACTTCTCTGTTTCCGACTGCCTTGTTGTTTTTGGACAATTACCTCGTAAGACTCCTAAGAAGACAGTGTTGAGACTCATGTCCGCTGTGACTTTCAAAGCAGAATTTGCCTGACCCTAACCCCAGTGATAACAGGAGTAACTGTGTTTAATTTAGATACCTGCTTCCTTGTCTCCAGCTCTTGCCTAACGGTAGCATGCTCAAAAGTTCCAGCCTTGCCATATGTAACCCACACATCTTGTTCTGCTCGAAAATGCTCCTTTTTTATAGTGGTTATTTGGTGTAAGACCCTCCCCATCCTATAAGAGCTGTAGAAATGGTGAATGTTTCAGCCTATCAGAAATCAGCTGCTTATTAATCATAGCTGGTTAGCTCAGCATAGTGCGAGGTGTGTTGCATCGTCACAGTCTTTGCCACATGATAAACAAAATGCAACTTAACAATCAAAATTTGTGCAGTTTTTTTTTTTTTTTTGTTGTTTTTTTGACTCTCGATGCTTACATTTTTTTGCAGTTTGTTTATTGATAATAAAAAGGCTTCCCAATATTGAATGTCACCAGGCTAGCTGCGGTGTGTACAGTCTGTTGCAGTTCTCTCATGTGGCCACAAGAGGGGGGTATGTCTGCATTCTAACAATGGGCTACGGTCACAGCAACCGATGTAATATTTATGTCCATTTTCTATTATTGGACTTGATGTTCAGAAGGGTTTTGCTAACCTATTTTTGTTTTTTCTGAAGTCTGTGACGCAGAGTTAATTGAGCCCTCCTTTTTTTTTAATTGCTTAAGCATATAGCTTCCAGCATTGCCTGCCTTTTTTTTTATAAAGCTGGCCATACGCCTGCATATGTTCTATGGTCAGATGGAAAAAGTGCAACAGATCCCTCCATCTACGCTAAACTGTGTGGCTGGAGGTATATCCCGCTGGGTCAAGCTTCAGTATCTTGCTAGTCGGCCCCGCTGGCTCTGGCCTGCATCCAATCAGATTGTTCAGGTATTTTGACAGCCAGCAGGGCCGACTAGCAAGATTTTGAAGCTTGGCCCAGATTCCTTCATCCACACAGTCCTAGCATAGATGAAGGAATCTGTTGCACTTTTTCCATCTGACCATAGAAACTCTGCAAATAATCGATAGGTGTATGGGCTGCTTTAGACGTGAAATGACAGGTGCTCTTTCAGTGCCAAAGGTTCCATCTGTTACTGTGTAATCTTGCATTGAAGTGTTTGGTATATTGGCTGAGGTTGTTTCTGAAAGCCTTTCCCTTTTTTTTTTTTTTAATGGTGTTTTATATGTTTCTGTAGTGTGGAAATATATGTTCTTTTCATAATGCTTGTTGTGTTTTTTCCTTTTCCTGAAAATTGTTATGTCTTTCAGATTTTATGTTCTTCCTGCTCCTGTATTTTCATGATTGTATTACAAGTTGCAGTTGGCTCCTCCTTGTTTGGATGTCTATAGGTTGGCCAGCACACCCAGGGCCCCCCTTTAAACAACTCCCCTGAACCGGCCTATAAGCTTGCACAGGAATAAGAAGAACCATAAAGACCCATCGCTGTTTTATGTGGCCGAGCAGGAAGTGCAGCCTCCATGTATTCAACAGTAACCCTGCAAGCAGCTCGTGCTGGTATTTGACTGGCTGTCATGCTGACCCACTTTCTTTGAATCCCTACCATGCACCTAATATTCACAGGAGGACTTGTGACTATCCTGATCTGCAGACTTGTCCAGTGACTTGGAAAATACTGAAGGCAGAGGATGAACATTACAGCCAGCCAACAGGCATTTTGGGGAAGGGTCAGCTGCAGCAGCCCACCAACTTTTCTAGTGAGCAGATACGGCTGTGCTTATGTCTATTGGACCAAGGTAGAAGGTTTTGAAAGAGCGAGCATGGCCATGTATACAAAACAGAGGAAATTATGTCTTTCAGGGTGAATTCCATGCTTAACAATGCGCTACATGTTACAGCTGTATACTGGGTTGTAGTGTGCTTGCCTGCCATTTATTTTGAATGGTACCCCAACTCTCATACGTGCACGGAAAGGCAAGTGTATATGTGAAATGTAATTTACTTCCCCCCTGAGAACTCTCCTAGCACTGTGCATCACAGGTCCTCTTTGTCCGCAGGGGCGTTCTGCAAGATTAGCTTGTAGTGAATACTGACCCTGCTGATGTACATACCCGCACCTCATAATGGACGCAGCAGGGCCAGAACGTGCCAATGCTCCACTGGAAAACATGTTTCACTTCTTACTGGATTCCCCCAACGACAGGTTCACCACCACAATGTGATGATCTGCATGTTGCGTTGGGCCGCCCTTTACACCTTCAACAACCCCCCCCAAAAAGAAAATGTTTTTTTATTTTTCAAAAGTTAGCCCCTCACACACAGAGGGGGGAATTTATCAAGACTGTAGCAGACAAAATCTGGAGCAGATGTGCACGCCAACCAATCAGCTTCTCTGTCTCACTTTCATATCTTACCTGAGAAAACTGAAGAGAGATGCTGATTTGTTGCCATGGGCAACTGCTCCAGATTCTGTATTTTCCGGTTTTCATAAATTCCCCCCACAGCATGTTCACCTGGTCCTTGTGGTGTGCTGGTGTTTATGTATAGTTGTAATCAAAATGATTGAACCCCCTCATTGCAAATCAGGTTTGTTGGCAACATTTACCAACTTTCAGCTGCTTGCAATAAACAAATCAAACAAAAGCAATTGAAATAAGTCAACACAGCGAAGGTTTCATGTGGTTTCCCCAAATTCAACTGCAAATACGACTTTTAATGACTTCTGCAGTCCCAGAATGATGAAGGTTCACACCAGATGCAGTGCGTTCTGGCCCGATGCTTGCAGCATTTTGATCGCAGCGGACCGCACGCATAATGTGCCTTGCGATCCCGTGCGGCTGTAGGGCGTGGCTACGGCGCCATTCACATCAATGGCCCGCCACGCCCCCTCCTGCCCCACAAAAAAGTGAGCCGGCCGCAATGTGCGGCAGTGTGTTCTGGCCAGAATAGGGCCGCAAAGCACTGCATCTGGTGTGAACGGGCCCCTAACCCTCTGAATAGAATCCCTCACAGGAGCACACATCTGCAGGACAGGTCTTGTCTCAAGCACACCTGCTGCAAGTAATCAAGGGCTGCATTAGCTGCACCTGGTGTGCCGGAGCTAGAACGCATGAAATACCTGAACTGGCTTGGGGTGTGCAGAGTGTCGCCAATGACCGAAATATGGCTTTAGAATGGAAGAGATCATCGCCCTTCACAAACAAGTAACAGGAGCCAAAAAGATAGCGAGAGACACCGTGGGGAGCAAAGGTCACAAGTTAAAGGAACAGTGCTTACACTACCCGGAATCAGACTTGCTATTGGCCTCCATCAGCCCCCCTGCACAGCAGAGCTTAGAGTGAGGAACAGTACACGGTGCCATTCAGTTGTGCTGCAATGCAAGGGGAATGCAGAGAGGAGGAGAGAGCTAAGATCATCAGTGCGCTGCTGCTTCTTTCACAGCCCAGTCAAAGGCTGAGAAGAAAACAGAAGCAGAGGAACGACAGGTCCCCTTCCTTGGTGCTGGTGTGACAGCTGTATGAATCTCAGGATGGCATGGACAGAACTGCAAATCCTTCGGCAGGTATACCCGCTTCCACCTCTGTATTTAGCGGCCTGCCCTGTGTTCAGCTTTAAGTAATGGTTGTCTATTGTATGCTAAAGCACCACCGCTGATATTATTGTATTGTATTAGGTGTGATGTGCTGGAACACACAAGGAGAAGAGGGACCTCTGCGGACACAGAATGGCCGACCGATGCGAGGGACTCGATCACTGAAATAGGGTCACATGACCAATGGGAGGGGTCGGCTTGCTGTATAAACATGAATATCAATCAATGCCGGCGTCCATGTTTATGACAAGTGTGTTCACCAGCTATGCCGTCCCTTCGAGGGTTCACCCGCCATGCCATCCCTTCGAGGGTTCACCAGCATGCCATCCCTGCGAGGGTTAATGATGACAGACCGGCCCGTTGTGGTAAAGGTCCGGTGGTCACAAACCCTTGGAGCGGTTATATAAGAAAGGAAGTAGGTTGCCTATAACAACCGTTTCTCTCTATATTCTCCTAGGCTGCACTGGAAGGAAGAAGCAGGTTGCTATGAGCAACGCAATCCTTGGATACGTTACTACAGCAAACCCAAGCACATCTGCAGGCCGAGGCCAGCGTGTGCACAACACGGTGACCCATAGCAAGATGATTTATCTTTCACCAATCTGATGACAGTATGCGGAAACCTGGTTGCTATGGCTCTTTATGCATGGTCAACGATTCACCCATCTGTGACCTCCCACCAGGCCTGCCAGTATTACAGAAAATTGGTTCCTATGGGCTACGCCTCTATACGCGTCTTAATAGTAACGATTGAGCCGTCTGTGACCTCCCACCGGGCCTGACAGTATTGCGGAAACCTGGTTGCTATGGGCTACACCTTTTTGCCGCCATCTTTGCTCTACAGTAAAACCCACTATTTGTTTTATTTCTACCCCCCCCCCCCCCCCCC